TATCAGCCATAAAATACATAATTTTGAAATTGAAAACCAGTAATTCAGATCTTCTGGTTAATGTCAGCTAGTGCAAGTTAATATTACCATCATGGATAGTATTTTGGAAGATACTGTCTAACGTATCATTTGACGAATGTGGATCACAGTGGTTATACCGTTTCACTTCGTATAAAATATAATTGATGTTTCCACTAGTTTGTATGATAGTTCTTATGATGAACTGGTATCAAAACCCTTATTTTAAATTTATATGCTCCACTTGTTTTATAATGATCACCTATATTTAAGTTTTTCAGCTGAGCGTTAGCGTATTTACATTGAATGGTTACCTATTTTTTGTCATCGAGTAATTCCTCACATTTACAGGTCATATTAATGTCCTTATTTTTTTATTTTTAGGACAGCTCCGAACGCATGACGTCCAATGAATGCTTTCGGAAAGTCGAAGCCCACCTTAGCAGGTTCAAAATTGGTGATTCATCATCATTGTCTTATGGTACTGCTGGGTTTCGCCTTCCAGCAAATAAATTGAGTGGTATAGCAATTCGATTGGGCGTGCTCGCGTGTCTCAGATCTTTGAACTTGGTATTATCGTGCTTATTAACTAACCCATTTAGCGTTGTAAAGCAGTGGGTGTCATGATAACTGCTTCTCATAACCCACCGTGTGACAATGGGATGAAGTTAGTCGATCCAGATGGTGGTATGTTGGATGCTGAATGGGAACCAGTTGTTGTTCGCTTCATGTGTTGTCCTGATAACTGTATATCCGAATGGTTGTCAGAAAATTGTTTAAATACTTCAGGTATCTCGCTTCTTATACATCAGTTTTATCTAGATGCAAACTAAAATTTCTTAAGATATCATGATTTAGACCTCTTCTTATTTATATACAGAATGATATTCCGCATCATCTCATACCTTTAAAAATTGTCCAGAGGACAATCAGTCTTAAGACAAGCGAAAATATGAGCAAAGTATAATTCTGAATTGGTTTCGAGCTTGTAGCACCCATAGACTTCTTCTATTTAACTACCATACTTCTCAATGTCATTATGCCTTTACAAGTAACTCCTGAGTGCAACCCTGTTCAGTAGTTAAAAGTGATATGCACGTCATGGCTTACTTTTATAGCACCGTACATCGCCTACTATTTGATCTATCACACGGTGCCATGCTGTGAGAGCTTCTGCGAGTGATGCCTTGGCGTCAAATCATGCAGCTAGCAATCTTGCTGAGGAATTACTCTGCGGGTGAGTAGGTCCTGGCAACCTACTTTCCCCGCTGGCAGGCAAATTTTCAAGTTTTATCTTTGTGGCTAACAGCACCCACTGTTAGACATCATGGAGGTTATTATCACACTTGGTGGACCCGCCTGCCAGTTAGGGTATTCCGTGCATCACTACGGTTGCAGCTTTGTGCAGACCACTAGGTAAAGGCTTTCTCTCCGCCGCACTGGTAACCCAAGGTTTGTCTGGTTCGTCTGACGCCGGAGTCCGCGATGTCTGGTCGGCGTGACTGCGGCAGGATGTTTTCCCACCGTTTCTCTATTGACTGGTCATACCGTAAGAAGTGGCTGCTTGTATCGAGGTTTCTTGGGAGGGCCGGGATAAGTTGGCTGCGATGGTCTCTATTTCTAACCTTCTGCAGCGGTCGTCCCATTTCTCCCTGCCAGACTGTCCTCTTTATTCTAAGAGTGAGTCTGTCGGTGCAGGGTTGTTGAACGGAATGATGGGTTTCCTTCTGTGATCCTGTGCGTGCGGGTTAATGAGCTTAGCAGCCAGCGCTTTCAGTCTACCCTTTACTCTACTTGGTTCTGTTCATGCATCCTCGTCACAACCCATTTCTTCAGGTCGTTAAGTTCCATAGGACCATCTGGGTTCACCAATACACTTGAGGACTTTGCTGGTACTCATCTGGACTGAGCTAGTATCTTCCGATCTCCAGGGGTGGCACCTTTGCACATTTGTGGAGCTTCACGAGTTTCTGAGGTTACGTTACGGGAGCTCATGTTTTGCGATATGTTTCGCTGTACCAGGTTTTTCAGTTTGCTGGTGGTGATAGAAGGTAATTTTGCTACATTTCGGACATATATGATACGTACACTTGCAAGGGTGCTTCCTCACAAAGCTGCAGCACTTGCCTGGTACACCATCATCACAGTTGAAGTGCACCCATTTTGGACAGATGTTGTACGCGAAGGATTTTTGAGCCTCTGACGCCGATTCTTTTTAAACACCGCAATAGTGAGAGATTTTCTCTTCGCTGATGACAGAGCGGTTTGGCTTATGTGGGGTGGGGTTGAGCGTAGCGTGTATCGGTATATTGGTTAGTCGACGCGCGCGTCTTCCCCATGCCTTCTTTTTTACCAACGGGATGTTAGAGGACGTGTTGCTGCCACTCCGACCACATGAGTCAACCGGTTTTGGTAAACGCTGTGTCTGGTGTGGCAGTGCCGTAGGAGTTTTGCATGGATGTACATTGCTGCTCCCGCCTTTTCTGAACTGCCTAGATTCTGTCCACCCGCAGACCTAATTATACGGTTCAGGGCTTGTGATCTAGTTTTCTCCACCACTATAGTAAAGTGGGTTAATCTGTAAATGATTTGAATGAAAAGAAGAATAAGGTGTAAAATAGATAGCTAACCAATCTGGACTTGATGCCTGGTTTCTGTCGCTTATCAGCAACTTCAACCGAATGCTCCAGCGCGTATGTGTAGACTAACAAAGATGTTTCTTGGTGACCCCTGAGGAGAGCCAAAATCTGTGGCAGTTGAACAGCCAGGAAAACTACCAATCATCAGCAGGAGGTATTTCCGAGTTGAGAAGATGGTTGCTTCGTTGTAAGAAGCTCTGCTTCCAGTTGGTTAACTGAACTGCATCCGCCGTTGGAATATGACTGACAGCTGTTATTCGATGATAACCATCGTGGTATTGCCCCTAAGTTGGAGATGGACAAGGCATGACGTTACTCAAACCATGCGTGACAATCAAACAACGGCTGAACAAATCCTGATTTTCAACCGAACTTGCTCGTTATTGCACGTAACAACTAGTTCATGTTATCAATGTGATCGAACGTGTAAACTGGTTTGTTTTCGTGTAGCCCATGTTGTACGAAGCATATGTAGTATGGTACCGTAATTGATGCTCTCATGGTGTCAGAAAGGGTAGGTTCTACGCCCCCTAACCTCCGGTTGACGGTAATAAATGGACAGCATGATAGGACCCCGAAATTCCAGTTCATTTTATTTTCCTGGTTTTTGTTGGGCCCTTTGGCACGGTTTCGAACACCATTCTCATTCGCGAAGTATCAAGGTTGGGTGTCAGCAGTCAAGCACCCTCCTGGTTACAGGACTATTTAGACGACAGAGAATTCTACACAAAAGTCAACAGGATTCGCTGACTAAGAGGACATTACCATCTGGTGTGTCACATGGAGTGATTCTGAGTCCGATAATATGCCTTTTTTAGTGAACGGCCTTCCATTGAATCTCAGCTTCACAATTCAACGTTACGATACTAAGTTATGGAGATCCGTGAAATCTGAAGCAGAATCAAATGCACTGCAAAGTGATCTTGGATTGCTTGCATAGTGGGCGTATAATAATGGGCTAGCGTTTGATCTAGATAATTGCCAAACCATGTTTCTTTGCACTCCCGACTCTCAGAAAGTACACTGGCCTCCGTGAAACATAACTTTCCCACTTTACCAGGGGGAAAAACCCGGCAAGCTAGACACTAGCCCCAATTGTCCAGCAGATCCTTCCAGAGCCTAAGTAGCGCTACACTTTATGGGCAGGCAACTAAATGCTGTCACTCCGGAACTCTCCCTAAAGCTGTATGAGACCTGCAACGACCTCACTTAGAAGTCCATAACGTCATTTAACCGCCATACCTGAAAAGAGATGTGGACCTCTCGGAGAAAGTTCAGAGGCGAGTGACAAAGGGCATCGTGGGGGTGATGCAAGAACTTTGTGAGGATAGGTTGAAAGACTTTGAGCTCTACTCTCTTAGCTACGCAGATTACGTGGTGGCTTGGTAATGGTGTATAAAATATCAGTTTATCCAAGTCATCCGAACAGTGGAATCCTACCTAACAGCCACTGTGGTGACCATCTTGGTAACCCAGGGAGAATCATTCAACCAAAGGGCGAAAACCCGTGAGTCTTCACACTTCTTTCTGCGCTTCTGAGGCTACTGGAATGCACTGTATACCGAGATTGCTACTTCTCTGTCTGCCGACAGCTTTAAGAAGAGGTTATGCAGTAACGCAGCTACGCATGTTTTGGCCCATCCAGCTAGAATATGGACTGAGTTGATACGACCTACTAACCCCGCACAACTCAGCACAATCAACACACTACCGAATCTTTTGTAACGTAATTATCGTCGCGAACGCGGCTGAGTCTTACACTTCCCTGTAGATACTTCCAGTTACCATTTCCTGTCAATAGTACTACTATCCCTATTCCCACAAACCGTCCTATGATCTAACTTCCTCCTTCTTTTCTTTGTGACTCGATGTTCCCCTTGCCACTCTTCTCCCGTAGATTTACTTAGATTTCTTCTCCCGTTCGGCTTCCTTCCACCTAATCATCTCTGTTTTTTGCTTTTCTCGTCACAGTTCCTCCCCTTGGTTCCTTTGGCCATCTTTTCTCCCTACTTTTTACGACCAGTTCGACAAAATGTCCGATGGCAAGCAACATGAGGAATCCCTCCGCCCCAAAGTCCTTGAAAAAACTACACAATGCTTACAAATTTAATTAACACACAACCGCCCGTCTGGCTAACCAGAGCTACAGTAAGCCAGTGGATAGACCTACTGCATCGGGGTCCGCCAAACACCTGAAGCCGTTTCGCAGGACCTAGAAGTGAGCGCGAAGAAATCAACTGATTTAAACTAGCTGGCAAAAAGATATTGGATTTTGAAAGGACGCTTTTTACCCATCAATTCACTTCAAATAAAGGTCATCCGCTTACTTCAAAATAATTCGTGATGTTCGGGAGGTTAGGTGTTTCAGTACGCACACCATGTTTGAAGACACCTAATTTTGTTCGTAAACTTTGTGCTGAAGCAGAATGTAACTGGTTACCATTTATTCATGTTTTTTAGTGTTAGTAGAAGATGGAAGTAAGTCAAGAAGCGCCAGACCTTTGCGACCTATTTATTTTGACCTCCAGGCATCTACACCATTAGTAAGCTTTCTTTTTGTCTTACTTCATAGTCGAAACAAGGATCCTCGAGTTCTTGATGCGATGTTACCTTTTATATCAGTCACTTCGGTAACCCTCATTCACGTACTCATGAGTATGGCTGGGAAAGTGAGGAGGCTGTTGAAAACGCAAGAAAGGTAATTATTCTTGTCATAAGCGAAATCAGTTCAGAATGTGGCAAACATTATTAATGCTGACCACAAGGAAATTATTTTCACCAGTGGTGCCACTGAGAGTATAAGATAGCTCTGAAAGGTGTCGCGAAGTTCTACTACCCGAAAAAGAGGAATATTATAACCACACAAATAGTACTGAGCTTCTCTAGATAATTATTTAACTTTCAGGAACATAAGTGTGTCTTAGATTCGTGTAGGGTATTAGAGAACTCAGGATTCGATGTGACTTACTTGCCTGTTCAGAAGAATGGCATTTTGGATCTGGAGGTACTCTCATTCGTTATTTATGTTTCGCTAAGGTTTTAGAACGATCAATAAAACCAGAAACTAGCTTGGTTTCTGTGATGTCTGTCAATAACGAGATTGGTGTCTCGCAACCCATTCAGGAGATCGGGAGGATATGTCGTAGTAAGGGTGTATTTTTCCATACCGATGCTGCCTCAAGCTGTTGGAAAGATCCCGTTTGATGTCAATTCAATGAACGTAAGCGATAGTTTTCAAGTGTTTTATTATTTATTTATTTCTGAGCACTACCCATCATGGTTGAACAAGGGACAAATTAGAACTATAAAGAGCTCCATACTTGCACATTAGTTGATACAGGACATCAGGTGGCTACTGGGAAAGCCTTCAAAATCATCCATCAGATTCCAATTAATTTACGCACTCGGTTACTTCACTTGGCAAAGACGATTGCAATCCACCTTCACAAACCTAGCCTTTGTATCCAAAAGAAGTTTGTCCGACCACTTTCATTACCGTGGCCGTCAACATGATGTAACTTCTAGGTTAACTTTATACACCTTTTCCCCTTCTTGTTTCTATCAATATTCATATTTCCAATTTTACTAACTCTATTGATTATTTGCATCATTATTTCGGAAACATCACCACGTGATTGGTAATTTGATTAGACTGTAAACCTACATATTAGTGTAGAGCCCAAGATGAAAACCAATGGAAAAAAAAATATTTCTTTGCTCAATCAGTCTTTTTCTAAATGTCTAAATTAGTTTTGAATTGAAATATTCTTTTTTTGTGGAAACTTTTGACGGACGTAATAAAGTATAATCGAAATGTGTTGCTGACATTTTGTCGTGGTTGACTGAACATTTTTTATTTTGAAAATGATTTAATAATTCATCTGCTTGTCGAGGGTAAACAGCAGCAAAGAGTAATTGTGTTCTTCTGAAAACCTAGGAAACAAGCAACTTGTTGCAAGATCGTTTTAGAATTTGGATATCCAAATAAATCTTCAGACAAGGTTTTAGAGTACCACAAATTACATCTCTGATATTAACAGCAAAAGAAACAGGGGCGAAGAAAAAAAACCTCCGTAAGATACATTCAGCATACTTTCATTAGTTTTTATTGCTTTTCAGAGACAAAACACTGTAGAACATCAACACTGGCTTTACTAGAAATCATCTTCAGTCACTGATCTGTGTGACTTCGTGAATGTCATTCGCAAATCCTTAGTGAACCAGTTAATTCTAGTTCAACACAAATATTCCCCTTACAGCACTATATTTTTGGGTAACCACGCTTTAACTTCCAAGCAGTTCAACACTTGTGAACAATAAATGACCAGCTCCTTCGATTATTTGTTGAAGGCTATATGATAGTTATAAAAATATGGATCATATTGTAATCTTTTTGGTCCTCTCCATTTTTATTTCCGATCCGGCCATATAATAATGACATAACCTCTACAAGTTTATCTGCTAGGATGATTTGAAATTGGTATGGGGATTAACAGTGGTATGCAGTCAGGCTAAAGTAGGTAAAGGTAATTTTAAACCAAATAGTAGTGGGATGCCTAAGCTAAAGTAGCACTTAGTTATTTCATACTTAAAACTGAGTAGAGATTACCAGTCCCATATAACTATATCCTTAGAATTGATGACCGTTGATTACAGATTCATATTTAACCTGCATTTCTCAAGATCTACAGGTTCTTTTTGATTCCATACCAAAGTTGTGTTACATTTGATTTCTTTTTGCGAAATTCGTATTTTAATCACTTTTTTGAAAAAACTTCATTGTCGTAATTACAAACTGATATATTTAAAGTAACCAGGTGAATAGTTTTCAGCAAGTAACCTGTCACAAAGTGCAGCGGTACAAGTTATGACAGCAGGACTCAAAAAAGGGGAAAAAGAATGATCTTAAAACAGATATGACTTAAGGAAGTCAAGATTAAAACTGAGTCACAAATTTTCTCAAGCTGCTTGTGTCGAAACTTTAGGTGGTATATTCAACTATGCTGGTGATTAACTATCCTACCTGAAAATGATTTAAAGTGATCTCAGTAGCATTTTGCATTGAACCACTTCATTTATCAGATGCAAAGCTCACTATCGTGATTCTTTGACGTTGAGCAGTTGGGAAGTGTCAAGTGCCCTCACCACTCTGTCAGCACTTAATTTTCTCCAGATCTCTATCCACCTCCTATAGCCTTAACTTTTAGTCTTCGCTCACGTTTCTCGGTCAAAATTCTTGCATTATCTTCGGTTTCTTCCAGCTCTGCAGCTCTTAAAAAAGATCTGAGATCACTAAACAGCATTACTGGTTTTCTGAAGTCCCGCTCCAAACTAGACATTGAGGCTTTGAACATACGCACTGTCCGTCAAATTGGCCAATAGGCTTTGGCAGTCAAAACTAGCATCTCGGGCAATGGATGGGGTTTGTATTATGAGACATGCATACAGGACTTAAGTAGTGTTATTCATTTAATGTCATCTAGTTTATGTGGTCAGTCCACAAATTCACCTTTTGAGTGTCTCCGAACATGATGGCTGGTTCATATGGTCTTGCAGGTGTAGGCGTAGCTTTCAGCCTTAAGGCAGAAAGTGTACTGCTTGACTGGATGCCACATGGCAGTCTCCTGTGCACCGTTCTACTGACGGCATAGTGAGGACTGAAAAGAGTAGTGAATACCTCCATTGTTTCTTTGTAGTCTCTGCTCATTGGCTGTTATTCAGAAATGTGATAGATGAGTTCTACCGTAAACTGTCTAGCCTTCTATGGAGAGCCAAACGCTCAGATGGGGGTTGTCGTGGCATGTGATTTCAATTTAAAATGGGTAGGGTAAATTAGGCAGAAAGACACTTAAGTGACTCTTTTGGAATCTCAGCTGAACGGTCAGATAACGGAGATTGTGTGCCACAACTGTGCTCAGACAACCATATTTGTTCTGGACAGCACAAACTTTCGACATAAGGAAAGAAATTGTCTGACGAATATAGTACCTAAGACCCTAGGTTCTGTAATCATTAGACATCTAAGAGGCCGGGAACAACAAACCCGAGGAAGACAGGCAGGCTTCAGACCTAGCCATGTGTGAATCGGCCAGATATTCACTCCCCACTAGGTCCTGGAACACAGGCACACATAACAACAACCAACACTAGCTGTATTTCTTGACCTGAAAATGCCATTCGACTCCATCAGTTGTGATGTAGCAGTGTCTCTGAGTATATGAATGGGTGCCATCACTTTTTAAGACTCTGTACTCGGATACCCGTGGGTCTGTTAGAACTTTTAACGAGTTTTCAGGTGAGCGGTATACATCGAGTGGTGTCTATCAAGGATGTCCACTCCCTCCATCCTTGTTCAACTTTGGAGTAGACGTACTTGTGGAAGTCTCCATCTCATCATCTGATTTCACAAGGATTGATCTTAACACAGGAGAATTCTCGGTAGATCAAGAGAACGCAAGTGACATGGTCGTGTTAGGTTAAGACACTGACAAGATGCAGATTCTCTTGTACTCTTTGAGTGGTGATTTGTGAATGTTTGGTATAAGTTCCTTGCCATCCAAATGTAAGTTTTTGTTACAGGAATGGTTTTCAGTGATGCCCTGTCTAACAATAAGTAGAGAAATGATCAAGTGTGTGATTAATCTACTCACCTGGGAAGTGGGAGAAGCCCTGGTTAATCAGTGGCCGATGAAATCTCAGTTACAAGAGGCTCGATTGGCTTTCACGAAAGTACACGACTTAGGGCACCGCTGTGCTACAATTCACTCTGTTCTATTGTATAGCTGTGAAGCATAGTCACTGGAGGTTGAAGATATGCAAAGGCTTCAGGTATTTGACTACGGCTGCCTTCGTATCGTAGACTGTGTCATATTGTCACGCATCAGTAATGTATACGTCAGATGTAGAGTTTTAAGGTAGAGATTGAAGTCGGTTGATACAGTTCTAAACCATCATGGACTGAGGTGGCTGCGATAAATGTTATCCATCTCCAGTCACCGTCTGCCTCGTCGCACAATGTTTACGGAATTAGGTTTAGACTGGATAAAGGTTAGGGGCGAGTACAGTAAAATGTGGCATCGGTACAAGAAGTCTGACTGTTAGTCTGTGCTAGGTAGGGAGCTGACTAACTGTGCGGGGTCCACATGACAACAGAAACCAGTAGTTCGAGACTGTGGGTAATATGGGTCGGAATCGATGTAAGTGTCGCAGATATATCCACACATTTTCCTCAACGTAATCGTGATACTGAATTTAGTGTTTCCTTATTCCTTCTTATTATCACGACTTTCTACCAATTATGACTACTTTTTTCTTTATTTCATCTCAGTGCTTTTTCATTTGATGGGGTGATATATGGTGATGCAACTTGACCCATTACGCGATAATACCGGATGCTATATTGATCTTGTCGGTTTTTTCATTAGCTTGAGCATTCGACTTTTGAGCTGTAGTTTGCAGGTTGTTTTCACTCCGCTAACTGTGCCAAGGTGTAACATAGCGTTGATGTAGCTTGGTGCACTCTATCTATTCGCATTATAGTTGTATCGTTTTAATTAGTGTGGTGCTGTGGCTCACTAGTCTATGGAGATGACTTTTAGTCTGTGGGTCACTGGTTTGAGTCTCGCTCCGCTACCAATGTTTGGGCGACCAGATAATACCACTAACTCTCACACAATAGGTGTAGCTCATTACCTACTGCACGAACGTTCACAAGGCTGCTGAGTGCATTTCGATTTTTTTTTCGATTGTTCCAATTAATTAACATGTGTGCTTGTGTAATTCTTATTCATCAGATTGATCTCATGTCTATCAGTGGTCACAAGTTGTATGGCCCTCAAGGTATCGGTGCCCTTTATGTACGTCGTCGACCAAGGGTTCGGTTAGAAGCACAGCAAAGTGGGGGTGGACAGGAACGTGGGTTACGATCTGGTACTCTTCCCACAGCTTTAGTTGTTGGTTTAGGAGAAGCATGTCGCGTAGCGAGCGAAGAAATGAAGGTGGGTTTCGCACTAAGATTTATTAATTAGGTTAGTCAGCAGTATAACCAACATTTTCTTGTATATTATTTCATGTCTTTAATTTTGTCAAAATCCTGAAATGTTCCATATTCTTTAGTTTCTGAATTTCTTATAAAAATTTTACTTTTACTGTTTATTTAGTTCGCACTTGAGTACTAAAGACTAAGTAATCATTATGAATGTGTGCACACCTAATTGCAATGAAGCTTTACAAAGAAAAGTTTTAGTATGTGGGAACTACATTGCAAATAACCTCAAACTTTAATTCACCACAGCAGACTTAATTTCGTTTTTTTCAAATCTAGCTTTTAATTTTCATATGTGGATGTATGATAGGTGTATCAAACACAGAATGGCTCGACAACTACTTGCAAACTGCACTAGGTGTAGTTGTTTAACTCTTTACCCTTCAAACCAAAGTGGATAGTAGAGACTCCCATCTCGTCAAGTAGCTGATTGGTTTGCATTTAAGCTACAAAAATCGTTGGCGGGAATGCCACAACCACACTTTTCAAAGTGATGACCAGTATACATCTGGTTATTATATTTCATTGTCACCTAAAAGTAACCCGTTAATACTCATGGAATAGTTGGTCGGTGAAGTTAAAATAATAATTGAAATGCTTTGTTAAAATATATAGGTACACATTTTCTAATTAGAACGATATAATTCGCCTGGTTAACTGGTTCCCTAGTTACTAAACAGTCCTAAGCCGGGTAAAGAGCGAGGGTTGGACGTAAGGCTAGCAACACTACCCCATAAAACCAATCCAACCATTAAAGAAACTTCCAAGCACAAACAAAATATAAAAAGTAAAAACAAACTCATTCTTCGCTGGAATCGAAGAGGCGAAATGACGCCGGTTGGTGAAAGCCTTCAGGAAGCCAATTAGCTGGGCCGATGTGTCTTCTCTCGATGAAAGCGAAAGTAAACGTGGGGACATGGAATGTCCGCACCATGTTTGAACCTAGCCGGCAAGGCAATTCGGATTGCAAAGGAGATGAGAAGGTATCGCATTGAAGTGTTAGGAATTTGCGAAAGCAGATGGAATAAAAGTGGACTCTCCAAACTGTCAACCGAAAAGTCAATAATCTACACCAATATTATCACCAAAACGACAACCGTGAGCACACTGAGTTTTGTAGTGGCTATCATGATGTCCCCAAGAGCATCGAAGGCTCTCATGCAGTGGGAAGCAATCTCCTCCTCCAGGATCATAACAGCAAGGTTCAACTCAAAAGGAAGGAAAGTCACAATCGTAAAATGCTACGCACCTACAAATAATGCAGATGAAGAGAAGATGGAGGAGTTTTACAGACAACTGCAATCAGCACTGGACAAGACCTCAAAATTCTAATGGGTGGGGTGAAATGAATGCCAAAGTGGGAGCGAACAACACGGGAAGAGAACTAACCATGGGTCGAGAAGCGCTCGGTGAGGTGATGAACGATAATGGAGAATTGTTTGCAGAATTCTGTGCATTCAACGATTTGGTGATTGGAGTCAGGCACTGTGTTCAAGCACAAGGATACCCACAAAGCGGCATGGATTTCACCAGACACCAGGACACACTAAAAATCAGATCGACGTTGTCTCAACATGAAGAAAGTGGAGACGCAGTCTACTTGACACAAGGTCACATCAAGTAGAGGAGCAGATGTAGGCTCAGACCACACACTGTCTAGTGCAAGGAACCCTCCAAATCAAGCTGAAAGCCTTCAAGGAGGTTGATGATAGACGCCCACAGTTCAAGTTCAACACCCAGAACAGAGACTGAACTGAAGGACGAAGCTACAAACAAAATCTTCACATCAGCCATCAAGACGAAATGGGAGATATCGAGGAACATCCCTGAAGAAACATGCGTGCGTGAGCACTGGAACTTTTTGAAAGCTATATGGAAAGAAGCCGGCATAACCGTATTAGGAAGAAAGAAGACAAGGACTGGAATGGATCTCGACGGACACATGGAAGCTGATAGAGGTGGGAGAGGAGGATGGTGAAGCAGAAGATGAACCAGTGTAAGGATGAACGACAAAAAGAGGGACTGAGTACGATGTATAAAACACTACACTGGACAAAGAAGTGAAGAAGAGTGCGTGGAAAGACAAAAGACACTTCCACGACACACTGGCAAGTGAAGCAGAGCAGGCTGCTGGTAGGAGAGATAGAGACCTGACAACATAATATCAACTAACCAGGTTACTTACTGTCTGGGAGGGAAGAGATCAACGTAAATGAAACCAATGAAAGATGAAGAAGGAGATTTAATCACCAAAGAAGAGGAACAAAGGAAACAATGGGCTGACCACTTCAAAAAGCTCTTGAATCGACCACCACCACCATCTGCACTTCGTCTAGAAATACCACCTGCAGTCCAGCCACAGAACTACAAGTGAACACAAGCCCTCCGACGAAAGTGGAAGTCCTGAACGCTATAAAGCTACTGAAGTGTGGGAAAGCAGCAGGACCATATGGAATCCCGCCAGAAGCACTGAGAGCAGACGCAGGGACAACAGCGGACAAGCAGAGGGTGTTGAAGGAAGGGAAGGTACCTGGCGATTGGAAGAAGGTTTACCTTGTCAAACTCCCAAAGAAGGGTGACTTAAGCCTTTGCAAGAACTGGCACGGAATCACGCTCTTGTTCACCCCAAGCGAATTATTAAGCTGCATCATCCTGGAGAGGCTAAAGGATGCACTGGATTCAAAACTGCGACCGGAACGGGCAGGCTTCAGGAAGTACAAATCATGTACGGACCAAATTGCAACGCTTCGCATCACCATAGAACAGAGTATAGAATGGCAGTCAACTCTCTACCTCAACTTTATCCACTTTGAGAAGGCCTTTGACAGCGTCGACCGAGAGGTAATTTGGAAACTGCTTCAATACTACGGAATACCGCAAACCTTTATCAGCCTCATTCAACAACTATATGAAGATGCCACATGCCGGCCAAGTAATTCACAATGGGAAGCTCAGTGATGCTTTTGAAGTGAAGACAGGAGTGAAACAAGGTTGCCTACTATCACCCATGATATTCCTGATTGTGTTGTGGTCGGCTGGATCATGCAGCAAACAGTGGGGAGCGAGAAGAGGGGAAACACTGGCTGGACTGCGGAAAAGAACCTAGGAGATCTGGATTTCGCCAGTGATGACTTGTGCCCGATGTCATACAAACTTGAAGATCTACAGGCGAAACTAACAAGTTGACAGAAGAGGCAGCCAAGACGGGACTTCAAGTGAATATAGAGAAGACAGAAGTGATGAAGATACCGCACCAACAACAACAAACTCCGGTCGCCATCAACGGGAGAAACTTAAAGGAAGTAACCTCCTTCACCTATCTAGGAAGCACTGTTTCAACTACAGGCGGGACGGACGAGGATGTCAAAGTCAGAATCGGAAAAGCAAGACAGGCGTTCATTAGCCTGAAACCAGTGTGGAGATCTTCTGCACTCCACTCAGCATGTGGAACAAGATCCGGATTTTCAACACCAACGTCAAGTCAGTGCTTCTGTATGGTTCAGAGACTTGGCGCGTTACGAAAGGGATTTCCAATAAACTACAGACATTCATCAACAACTGCTTACGCTGGCTCGCTACTGAAGATCAGATGGCTAGAATAAGGAGAATAAGCAGCAAGGAGCTCTGGGAACGAACCAACCAAGAAGCTATCGCTGAACAAATATGCAGAAGGAAGTGGAGATGGATTGGGCATACACTGAGAAGGCCGACTGGGGACATCACGCGTGAGGCCCTCGAGTGGAATTCCCATGGGAAGCGACGAGTTGTACGTCCGAGGTGGGGGTGACATGGAGGAGATGGTGCGAGGAGGAAATAAGAGGTTGTGGGCTGTCGTGGAGCCAGGTTCAAAAGGACTGCAGAGAAGAGAGTTCACTGGAGACGTGCTACTGAAGCTTTATGTTCCAATGGGAACCGAAGGGACAAATAATAATAATAAGTATAAACTGACCATTAAAACTGATTACCAGATATTCTTGTGAGCGAATTGCTTCATACTATGAAGTCACTGATAATAAATGATTTTTGTAAGGAAGTAATCAGTGCGTTTTGAAGTTGCATCCAAGATTATCAGCTTGATAGCTATACTGACGCCACTGGATTCGACGATCAAGTCTGATAAAAACCTAAAGCACTATGACTGTGTAGATGATTTCTGACTGACTTAGCAGTTTTAATGTGTATTTGGTACAGTACATTATCACATGGTTTTGTTTACTGTCATGTCAAACCAACTAATATCGAGCGTAGAAAATAGTATGCAATCACTTGTCAGCTAGGGCCAGGACCCCCTATTAAAATGAATCTAGTCTTTTGAATATACACGGTCTTGATATTCTTGAATAACACAGATGACCGACATGAGTACATCTCACTGTCAAGTAACAAATCAACTGCAGACGGTAACTTGAATATCCACTTGGCATAACTGTTCAAGCTGTTTGTCATTTAAGAATACTTTATTATTACAGTTGGTGTTAAAATGACAGTTATCATAAGAGTCACTTTTTGTGATAAGGAAATGTTTATTAAGTATCTATTCCATGTACCAACTCACTAGCAAACCTTAAACACATTCTCGAGAATTGACTTACTCTTAGGAGGGCATCTAGTTGACTTACAGTACACATACGACATTGTCCTGTTAGGTGATGTTAGAAAATTGCAGAGTCCTCTGAATGTATGGAGCAGAAATCTGAGTACGTTTGGTTTATGTTTTGCATTTGTCAAACATAATATGATGTTCCAAGACTAGTCTTCCGCAAATCTCATTTTATGCATAGAGGGTGAAGTGGTAGAATGTACTGACTACTTCACGTACCTGGGACATTGCATTTGCCCACTTGTGTCGATTAGATATTCAACAACCTGTTAAACGATTTGTATAGCGCATTGCAGTCTGCTTTGTCCCAGTGTACCACTGAAACTTGGCCATTGAGAAAAGGCGATTCCACA